TACATTATAATACTTCAAAGAATTAAGGAAAACATTCTTAAAATTCATTTGGAACCAGGAGAGACCTAAAAGAGCAAATACAATTCTGAGTAACAGAGCTAAGGCAGGGGGCCCTACAATTCCTGACTTGATTACTGTGATAAAAACAGCATAATGCTGGAGGAAAAAAAAGCTGAGGTGGGACAGCTTAGAAGATGCAGGCACAATCTCAAACACACTCAGTTACATTATTTTTCACAAAGGGTCCAAACACTTTCACTAGAAGAAAGATAGCCTCTTTAATAAATAGTGCTAGAAAACCTGGGTTTCCACATACCAAAGACAGAAAACTAGATCCATGCCTATCACCATGTAGTAAACTAAAATATCAATAGAACAAAGATTTAAATATTAAACAGAAACACTAAATATTATGGAAAATACCATAAGCAGAACTCTGGAAGACACAGTTGTAGGCAAAAAGTTCATGAACGAAATTTCTATCACACAGGAAATAATACAAAGAATCAATAATTTGGATCTCATCCTATTATAAAGCTTTTGCACAGCAAAATAAATCACCAATACAGTGAAAAAACAGCCCATAGAGTAGAAGAAGATTTTAGCCATTGTCCTTCAGACAAAGGATTTATATGTAGAGCACACAAAAAATTGAAAAAAAACCAGACCCCCCAAATTTAAAGGTCCAATGCTAAAATAAGTACCTGATATGAATACACAGTTCTCTGATGATGTACAAATGACAAATATATAAATTAAAAAATGTTCAACATCACTGGTTATTAGATAGGTGCAAATTAAAACAATTCTGAGACTGCATCACAGTCCAGAATGAATGGTTTTCATCAAGAAATCAACCAATAACAAACGCTGGAGAGGCTGTGGGGAAAAAGGAACACTCATCCATTGTTGATGGGAGTTTACACTTGTTCACCCTCTGTGGAAATCAGAAAAGAGATTCCTCAAAATACTAGGATAAGAGGTTCCATTTGACCCAGCTATTCTCCTTTTGAGCATCTTCCCAGATGAATTAAAAATGTTCACAGCAATCAATGTGCATCCACACTAACAGCATCCCAGTTTGTAATACCTAAGTCTTGTAAACCACCCAAATGTCCATCAACGAAGAAATGAATAAAGAAAATATGATTTGTTTAAAACATGGAGTACTATTCTGCCATAAAGAATAAACTTGAGACTTTTCTAGGTAAATGAGTATAACTTGAGACCATACTCTTAAGTGAAATAAATTGGACTCATATGTGTGAACACGGCGTTGTCTTCCTGGTTTAAGAAACTGAAGAAGTAAATATGGATCAAAATATGTTACAGATATTGTGAAATGTGGAGGAATTGTTCAGAAGGAAAGAGGAACTAGGGTGGGGGGAATGGGAAAGGAAGAAAAGAAAAAAAAATAAAAAATATAAATGGAAACAATGCTTTGAAAAGAAGGAGGGAAGGGGAGATGAAGGAAGATGATTGAGAAAAAAAGAGGAAACAAAACATCATGTACATGTACAAATTTCCTATGATGAATATGATTATTATATATGGCTAATGTGCACTGATAAACAATTTAAAGTAATTGATAGTGAAGCTGTCCATGCTGGCGCATGCCTATAATCCCAAACTCAGGAGGCCGAGGCAAGAGAATCCTGTGAGCTCAAGGTCAGCCTGTGCTATACAATGAGTTCCAGGCTAGCCTGGACTATGTATTGAGACTCTGTCTCCAAAAACCAACCAAACAACCAAACAAACATTAGTAGAGAATGCTCAGTATAAATGAAACCAGAAATGGTCACATGTCACAACCAAATGAAAGGTGGAGTAGATGTTGATGAGTTATGCAGCAACTATGATGTCACTCAAAACATGAAGTTTTGGACAATGATTGTGTTTCACTCCATCTTTAAACATAAGTAGTTTCATAGGTTACAAAGAAAATAACAAGCACAAAATATGATGAAGAAACTTTCTTAGAGGATTGGGACTGGAATTTATAAATGATCAAGTACAACAGAGGAAGAACAGTATGTATCTGCCTGAAGAACTCCACAAAAGAATTGTGGAACAGACCAATGAACAGACAAGAGAAGACAGCAAGAACACCCTAAGAAAACAAAAAGATCAGTAAGATGTTGAGTATGTCCTGCCAATGACAGAAAAATAAGAAAAGCCATGTTCTGTAATTGTAAGCAATACTTTTGCATCAAACATGCTGCTGCCATATATAAAAACTATCTGAGGTATAATAATTGAAATAAGGATTATTTTTATGGTAATTTTATTTGTATTCTCATTTTAGTTCACATAGAAGTTTACTTCTGTTGTTACTTTTTAGATTTAGTAAGAATACAACTGATGTATAAAATGTTGATTTTATTACTATTTCTGAAACACCTGACAAAAGAGGAAGACAAAAAGAGGTGACAAGCATGGTCACCAAACAGGAAAAGAAAGACAAGCACATGTGCTATCAGTATAAGAAGGACTTGTGAGTGGAACATGCTGTTGTCATGTGTGAAGACTGGGCTAGGCATGATAGTTAAAGCAAAGGTTACCCCTGTTGTGGAATTTTATTTGTGTTTTCTTTGAAGTTCACACAGGAATTTATTCCAGGTGTTATTGTTTAGGATCTTGTAAGCAGGTAAACAGTTGTTGAAAATGTTGATATTTATTCTACATAATAATTATATGTTAAAAATTTAATATTTTATTTTAGTGATTTTTATTTCCTTAAGTGCATGTTGTTTAATAAAATAAAATTCAAAAAATTAAGACTAAGAATTCATCAACAAAATATTTCTTAAAAGTAAACGTGGGCATTGTACACCCCCCACAATGCTCTTTTAAACAAAATTTAGTGTGATTTTTAAACTCTACTTCCAGTCATGACATTGGAATTTCTTTGAAGTTAACCTGCCTCGGTGCATGCATTTATGTCTTCTTTACATGTCTTAAGCAATTTTGATGGCTAAAGTAAATTGAAATCAGCCAATTTAGGAACGTGACATGATGAGATATGGTAGTGCTGAAAGCCAGCAATTTTCTTCTTGGTGTTAGCCAAATTATTGCTACAAACAATAGTTTGTGATTAACAGATACAATATAGCTCTTATAGATAGTACAACTGAGGCTGTAGGAACAAATCCTTCCACTCATGCTGGACCAACTATTCTCCAGTCACCTAAACTGGGCAACATCTCCAAGCCAACCCCCACATTTTCATCCTTAGGATTGCTACCTTCACTGCTGTCTCCTTACTGTCATGTGCCACCTCCAACTCTTTGCTCATCAAGCACAAGAACCTGGAAACCCATTCAGGACTCCATCTCCCACAATAACATGGCTTCTTAGATTCAACTGTGGTTCAGATCTTCCTTTTGAGACACGAGGCATTGCTGTGTCAGGGACTAGGGGTTGTAAACACTGAATACAACAGACATGACACAAACCTTCATAGAGATCCCAGGATAGTGTGAGCAAGTAGACATTAAGGCAGTCATTATATAAATGCCTATACAACGGCTACATCAATAAAGGACACAAAGAAAACAATAAATGATCTGTGACTCTACAGCAGAAACAACTGGCTTATTGCAGGAAATTAGAAAGCTCTGCTGAATGACTGACTTTTAATGAAGAAATAAGAATAACTGGGTGAAAGAAACTGGGACGAGACATCCAGAAAGAGCACAGCATGATAGGGACTTTTTGTACGAATACTGAGGAAAGTGAGGTGAAAGTGTGTTCAGGAAACAGATGATGCTGGAATTTGAGGACAAGTTAAAGAACCCGGAAGGGCCATGCAAGTGTTGAGACTTCACAGGTAAGTGATGTGTTTAGGACTTCATGAGTCCCAATTCAGTGGAACAATACCGAGATCATCTTGAGTTATAAAACTGTGACCTTGCTCATTGTACTATCCTTTCCAAGAAAATTTCTACATGCCTTAACTGATGATTCTTTACAATTCTCAAAAAGAGAGCCTGTAATAATGTAACAATTATTTCTACAAGTAACAGAGATGCAAGGAAGTTTAAATAGCTTGCCTAAATTTTCATGAGTTGATATGAAATACGATTCCTAAGTTAATTTTTTCTATTAGATTACATTGATGACTAATGTGTAAATAATAAATCCATAAATTCTCAAAAATAAACTGCTTATAGTCTCTTGTTTTGTATTCTATTCAATTCAAGATGTGGTTTTCTTTTTTCTCACAATTATTTCTTTCATCAGTTTAAGACAGTAATTTGACTTTCTATTTTTCTTATTAAATTTATAAAAGCTCTGAAGTTGGATACATAATAGAAACAAGAATCAGATTTCTCTCAGAATATATTGGAAGAATAATCAACCAATCAATCAAAATTCAAAGCACAAGACAAATAATAATCAGAGCATCTTGTGTAAATTTAAATTCATTCATAGAGATTCTAGTCATCATAAAACCTTTATTATAGTAACATGTGTCTGAGGATGTTATGTATTTCACATACCTTAGAAAATTAATATGAAAAGCACGTAGATCATTGCATTACCATACTTTGAGTTATCAGAATAAATAAATTATAGTAACTAAACCTCTTACCAAAGACATGCATGAATTACCAAAACTTATTGACCCAATTTATTTTTATTATTTAAATTTTTTATTCTATTTTAAAGAGAAAAAACACAGAAAAATCAAAAAGCAATCAAATAAAATCAAACAAAAACATCAATAAAGTCCAAATGACAGCAGCAACAACAATAAATAGTGACATAGGTTTTCAAAACAAGAAAATAGGAAGTTAATAACGGTTGTTATGTTGCATATTGTTATCTTCAAAATAATTGCTCAGGTTACCACATTTTAGAGGAAGTCTTTGGGTCATATTTTTAACTACATCTCTTTAACAGGTTTTGTCTTCAAGCTTGTCTAACCCAGCTGCCGCAAGAATTTTCTTGGGTCAGGTTAGCAAAACTCCCACACCCTTGACATTTAATCACCATACCTGAGTAAGAATCCCATTATGTCTGTTTAGCAAGAACATTTCTCTTCATGAGTACCCATTTATAGACTCTCCACCTTACTGACTGGATAGAAATTCCAGGCTGTGCATTTAGCTCAGTGTTGTAAGCTCCTTCCTGGCAAGTGCAAGGTCATGAGTTTGATCCCTGGTATCAAAAAAGAAAAAAAAAAAAAAAAAAAACCAAAATCATCAATTGTCTTTACTGTGTTCAGATTCCAATTCCATTGGTCCCCTATTACACTAAACCTGAACCCTACCACACTAATAGTGAGAAACAATAATGTCTTGCTGCTTTTCTAACAAGTGGGGAGCAATTTTTCTTCAGTGTGAGCAATTCCCTTTTGGCAACCCTTTCCCTCACTCTGGTTTTCCACACCTTTTCTTGAAGGCAAGGGAAATCTAACAACCAAGATTTCATATTTCAAAGGATATCACTTTAGTTACTCTGAAAAAGAATTTAATATAAATAAGACAAAAATATCTAATTTAATGACTGAAATATATCGTTATGATTTGTACCTTCTGATTTAATCTAAACTCAGTATTTTAAAACAGAAAAAGTCTAACCCACTGAAGCCGATCAATTAACACGTATTTGAGTGAAGAAATTAAGTGGAGTGATTTATGTTTTTAAACGTATTTCAAAGCTGGGTGTGGTACGGTGCATAGCTGTAATCCTAGCATTTGGGAGGCTGAGGCAGGAGAATCATAAATTCTAGGCCATCAGAAAGGCACATTGAGTTCAAGGTCAGCCTGGAGTATATTTAAAATAAAGAGATCAAAAACACATCCCATTTTGTTTCACATGTTTCTCATTATGTGTAAGGCTTACTTAAAGGTTGAAAATAATCAACCTTTTTGTAAGGTTGAGTTTAATAAAGACATCATTGAGTTTAATAAAGACATTTATTCAACTTTTATCAATCACTTATTTGCATATTAGCAACCACAATCATCTAATATGTTCCAAGACTGCCAATAGATACCTAGAATTACATAGCATTGAATAATATTAGTAACAACTAATAATAACAGAACAATTAAAGCACTATGCTGTAGCAAAAGCTGTGAGAATGTACTGTCTCTCTCTGTCTCTCCTTCCCTCCCCTATTCCTCTCAGCACGTTTTATTGTAAAATCACTTTATACTTAAAGCGTGTCCTCTAGGACTCCTTTTTGACATATCTGAATTCCTTGGATCGCTCTGCTGGTGTTTTGAGGTCATAACAAGCAAAATTAAGGTGACAGGAAATAAGCACTGCCACATTCAATAGTCCACTGTGGGGGCTTGATGGCCTGGGCTGCTGAAGGGCTCACAATGGGCAGTGTGGACCAGGAGGGCACTCGATGAAGGGACTATGTAGGCCCTGAACAAGGCAGTACAGAGGGGTGGCTGTGAGATTTCATCACATTCCTCTAAACACATTTAAAATACGAATCATGGCTATAACTTTTCACAATATTTTTCACAAGTGTCTACCTTGGGTAAGTAAAACCATCGAAAGTTAAGTTGGATAAGAAAGGACTCCTGAATATGGAAACAATTTCTCTGCATGAGTTGTTCTGTTGCATGCAAAGACATGTATATCTATATAAATATAGGATCATTTCCATGACAGTTTCATCACAGCTGTGTTTGCACATGTCTGGTGAAGACTCTGATTCAATTCTTTAAAGGTTTTGGTGTTAGACTTATTGTTTTAATATTTGGCATACACATGTGTGTACATGTATGTGTGCATACATGTCTGTTTGTGTGTGTGAAGACTACTAAAGAAGGAAATATCTATAGTTAAAAAATCTATTATCTGTATCTATGGACAAAAATAAAATAATTCAAAATAAAATACTAGTTTTTTTCAGACATACTATGTAATGCTTTTCTCAGTTAAGCAAATTTTTTAAAGATGTATATATAGTTTGTGAGGTAAAATACAACTGTATTGAATACATTTCTGCTGAAAAAAAAACAGATAAAATTATTTAAACATTATTACATTTACCCAATTGTCAAACTTATATTTTAACTCTCAGGTGATGAATTATTTATTTATTTATTTATTTTATTTTTTTTTTATTTAAGAGGAAAAAGAGAAAAACACAAAACAAAACAAAGCAGTGTAAGGTTACACATAATACAGAACTACAAAAAAAAAACATAACAGTAAGAAATCACCTGTTAATAGATTACATATTATCATCTTGGAAATAGTTGCTCAAATGACAGTATCAAAGAGTACAAAGTAGACATTCAAACAGAGAGATTGCAAACAGCTGTGTTCAATGATCCAAAAACATTAATATAGTCAGCTATTCAACACCCCTATACACACTTGCTGTTATATCCATTAGAGCTCTTTTTTTCCCTTCCTCTCTTTTTACAACAAAATTTACACATTTTAGATTTTATTACTCTTTAGTTCTTGTTACTTTTGGGGAGGGGGAGAATAAAGTCAAATATGGCAGAACAAAGCTGTCAGTCAAAACCAAGGATAGACTTAGCACATGTAGAACAGAGTACACGGTTATTAACAATAGATATCAACGTTGTCTCTTGTTTCCTTAAAAAGATTTGTCTATCTCATTAGATATTATAAAGTTGGACAAAACAGTGGAAAACAAGACCAATAAAACTTAGGCATTGTGAACATTACAGGACTTCCAAAGGAGACAATAGTCAAACCAGAATGGGCATCTTTGTGAATCTTATTGCCTTCAAATTAGTTGCCTATACCCTCAGACTTGCTACTATCCCACAGAATGGAACAGAGTCTAATCAGTCAAAACAAGATCGTGGGAGTATTACAGGACTTCAAAACAAGTTAATAGGAGATCGAAAAGAGTTACTATTATATATCCTAATTTTTTAAATTTTTCCCTTAATTAAAATAAACATAAGAAATAGCTAAATAATTTTTTTAAAGAATAGTAGTTACCATAGTGTCTGTCTTTTTCCTTAAAATATTTGGATAAAACTTCATATACTATAGCTTCAAATATTTCCATATCAAGAAGCCCAGAATAAAGCCTTTCTAATTAATAAGTGAAAATTTTATAAGGCTTCAAGGCCACATAATGGGGAATCATGATTATCACATATTTTTATATATTTGAATCATTACTTACATTAGGGAAACTATTCGGTATTCATACATGCGAGATTGATTTATTTCACTTATGAGTATGGTCTCAAACTGCGCCCATTTATTGATAAATATCTCAATGCGATCGTTCTTTATAGCTGAATAATACTCCATTGTATAGAAATACCACAACTTTTTTATCCATTCCTCAGTTGATGGACACTTGGGTTGTTTCCAAGATCTGGCGATTACAAATTGTGCTGCTATAAACATAGGTGCACATATATCCCTGTGGTATGATGCTTTCAGTTCTTCTGGGAATATGCCTAGAAGTGGAATAGCTGGAATAAATGGGATTTCCAGTCCCAACTTTTTGAGAAACCTCCAGACAGACCTCCACAAAGGCTGTACCAGTCTACACTCCCACCAACAGTGCAGGAGAGTTACTTTTTCCCCACAGCCTCTCCAGCATTTGTTGTTGTTGGTTTTCTTGATCCTGGCCATTCTTTCAGGAGTGAGATGGTATCTCAGTGTGGTTTTAATTTGCATTTCTCTAATGACCAATGATGATGAGCATTTTTTCATGTATTTATTTGCCATTTGCATTTCTTCATCTGAGAATTGCGTATTCATCTCAGATGCCCATTTTTGGATTGGATCTTCGAATTTTGGAGGTCTGAGTTTTTTAATTCTTTATATGTTTTAGACAAGAGTCCCTTATCTGAGAGAGAGTTCACTAAAATCTTTTCCCAGTTTGTGGGTTTTCTTTTCACTATGCTGGAGATTTCTTTTGACATGCAGAAACTTTTTAATAAGAAGTGGTCCCAGTTATTGATTCTGGGAAGTATTTCCTGTGGGGTTTGAGTCCTGTTCATGAATTCTCTACCTACTCCTATGTCTCCAAGGTTTCTACCCAATTTGTCTTCCAATAGATTTAGCGTTTCTGTTTTAATATTCAGATATTTGATCCATTTAGATTTTAATTTAGTACATGGTGATAGACATGGGTCTAGCTTTAGTTTTTGGCAAATGGAGAGCCAGTTTTTCCAGCACCATTTATTAAAGAGACTGTCGTTCTTCCAGTGAACCTGCTTGGCTCCTTTATCAAAGATAAGGTGGTTGAGTGTGTTTGTAGTTGTGGTTGTATCTTCTAATCTATTCCATTGATCTTCAGCTCTGTTTTGATTCCAATACCATGTTGATTTTACTACTGTTGCTTTGTAGTATAATTTCAAGTCAGGGATTGTGATGCCTCCTGCTTTGTCTTTGCTGCTTAGAATTGCTTTTGCAATTCTCGGTCTCTTCTGGTTCCAGATGAAATTTAGGAGTGATTTCTCTAGATCTATAAGGTATGTTGATGGTATTTCTATTGGGATTGCATTAAATCTGTATAACAGTTTTGGGAGAATGGCCATCTTCACAATGTTTGTTCTTCCTATCCATGAGCAAGGGATGTCTTTCCATTTTCTGAGATCATCTTCAATTTCCTTTTTCAGTGTATTATAGTTTTCACTGTATGTCTTTCACTTCTTTCGTAAGAGTAATTCCTAAATATTTCATTTTTTTGCTTGCTAATATGAATAGTCCAGTTTCCCTTATTTCCCTCTCTGTGATTTTGTTGTTTGTGTATAGGAATGCTATTGATTTCTGAGTATTGATTTTGTATCCAGCCACATTACTGAATTTATTTATTGTATCTAAGAGTCTTTCAATGGAGCTTAGGGGGCCTTCTATGTAGAGTATCATGTCATCTGCAAACAATGACAACTTAACTTCTTCTTTTCCTATCTTTACCCCTTTTATTTCTCTTTCTTGCCTAATTGCTCTGGCTAGTACTTCCAGTACTATATTAAATAGGAGTGGTGATAAAGGACATCCTTGTCTTGTGCCTGATTTTAAAGTAAAGGCTTTCAATTTTTGGCCATTTAGTATGATGCTGGCTGTTGGTTTGTCATAAATGGCCTTTATAATATTGAGGTAAAGACCATCTATTCTAATTTTCTGTAGAGTTTTTATCATGAATAAATGTTGGACCTTATCGAAGGCTTTTTCTGCATCTATAGAAATGATCATTATTTTTGGCTTTATTGATATGGTGGATTACATTTATTGATTTACATATGTTGAACCATCCTTGCATTCCTGGGATGAATCCCACTTGGTCATGGTGTATAATTTTCTTGATGATTTGCTGGATCCTATTTGCCAATA